CGCCCCAAGAGGACCAAAAATAATATATTATTAATTACATTCTACATGTTTCGAGTTTGAGGTTATTATTTTTTAAAACTATAACAATTATGATTATATAGTCATTCGTTGAATTGATGACATGCCTAGTATGAGATCCATTATGATCTAACTTGATATAAAACATTCATTGTAGAGCTTCAGCTTCTCCTAAGTCAATACTTTTGTGTCACAAAACAACAATCAATGGTGCAATTTAGTTCAAACTGTACATGTAAGTATGGTTTATACGATCATCATAGAAACACCTCTCATTTATAGCATGTCATTAATTTAATAGAGTATTAGACGTTTAAGCAGATAAAAAGGTATATGTTAATACAATTTTAAAATCTCAAAATCTAATGTGAAAATATAAAACATAATGACTCATTTTGAAAACACCTCAAATCTAAACGTGTAAACCAACAATATATTCAAATGTTTAATATAGTAAAATTGTAGTAAGATAGCAGCTATTTTGTATATACATATATATTGCACTACTTTGCTTGATATACCACCCTTTAAAGTCCGTTTGTGAACTGTATGTTTGTTTTTTTGTTCCCTACTTTAGGAACCTCCCTTCAAATCAGTCCCATCTAGAGGACTAGAATGTCCATGCCTAGAGCTAGCTTCTCCACACCAACTTTCTTGGGATGAGGATCCCATCCGGATTCAAATGGTGGGAATCCTAGTGATCATTATATTCTAACCGTTCATCGTATATCGTGCGGTTAAAAATTATTTAAATTTTATTATTTAAAATTAAATACAAATAGTAACTGATGAAAATTAACTGTACGATATACGATAAACGGTTAGAATATGAGGATCCTTAGGATCCTCACCATTTGAATCCGTATGGGATCCTCATCACTTTCTTGGCCACTAATTAATTAATTAGTAGAACTCCACCACTAATTGCATTAATAAATTCTTGCCATGGCATCTTTTATTTCTGTTTTGTCACACAAAATATTTTGTTAGATTAGATATGAGATTAGGACGCCGTAATGCAACATTTTCTTCATTGTGGTAAAGAATCACTTGCAAATGGCATCTACTATTTATTAAACCCTAATTAGCAAGGACTATTCAGTTTAACTGAAATAATGTTTTTCTTTTTATATACGGGTGAAGGAATTTAGCTTCATCAATTCAAGTAAACCAGGAAAAGAAGAAGAAGAGAGGATCTAGATTCAAGTTGGTGATGAAATCTAGTTATGTTAAGCGGATACAATTGATCAATTTTTTTTTTTTTTTTGGGAATTTAATGAAAAGTCTGCGGTACTGTTCATTTTAACGAAAAATCATATTTTTACACTAAAAAGTCACCTGGTACTATTCACTTTACCCTTTATTTTGTTATTATGGTTAAAACTCAAAGTTTTCAAACTCTTTTCGTTAGTTTTCCTTTTTTTTTTTTTTGGACGATGACCAATTTAATTGATTTAGAAATGAAGACAATGTTGAAAACGTGTTTGCCTTTCCATCACTACGAAAACGGCAACAAACGAGGACAATAATGACAAATCAAAACTAAGACAATTATAAAAAGGAATCAGTTCCAAACACTCCTTAATTTAGGCGGGGCCGACGGCTAAATAATTGAACTTAACACATTCTCACTTTGTACCACGATTTAATGATATTGAAAACTTTTAGGCTAAGATTCTCTTAAATGAATTAGTAAAGTTATCATTTTGTGATTTAACTAAAATCTTGAACTCCCTCAACGTAAATATATCATGGTATAAATAAACAAATAAATAACTCAACCCTAATCTCAACTTTACGATCATGTATACATGGCTGAACTCACATCATCCTATAAAAAGGTTATAAATTACTAAACAAAGTAAATGTTAGGAGTAATACTAACTTCACGAAAAGGTTATAATCTATATCAATTTCAAGTCCAAGTCCAAGTCCAAGTCCGAGACTGAGTCTGAGTCCAAAAGTGTCTGCATGAACAATTAATGCAATCAACGTTTTAACCATGTACGTAAATATTCTCTTCATTGGTCACATTCGTGTTGACCTACACTACCATAAAACTTTTTTTTTTTTTGGAAAAACTACCATAAAACTTGTTTGGACCAGAGTGTATAATCACTTTCGGACTTATTTCTACCAAAGATAGCTCGATCAAACATGGATTTCCAACCCAGCTACCTGATGCACATACCTGCATGGACTACAACACCCAAAATAATCAGCAATCTACACCCTAAAAATGTGTCATTCAGTTCAGGTCATGTTTGGGAGGAAGCTAGCTACTTAGCATGGGAGCCATGTCTGTTGTATCCAAGTGCACCTCACAACAACACATGTCCATAAATGAGAGGTTGGAGGGAAGAGAAATCACATTTGATGAACAACTTATCGTTATGTTATTGAGTCGAATCGAGATACGACTAACATGAAACGAGTTGGACGTAATAACTTATATGAAATGAGTTGGACGCAAGCCTAAAAAGAGGCGAGATAAAAAAAAGGATTGCATGCAAGTTTCTCTATTTTTTTTGTAATGAGTCGTCATGTAGCTTTACTTCGTCCATGTTTTGTTTATCTTATGTTTTTAGTATGAATTGTGATTCTCTCTTTAGGTATTGCGTTTTGCCATGCATAGTGGTCATGTTATCTTCTTTGAGCAATCTAGCTCTAGGGTTTGTTAATAGCAATTACGTACTCAGAAGTCTTAATCTATAAGAAATTAATGATATATCTAAAAAGTGTCACATACATGTCAAAGATCTATCTTAAGGTAAAGTGTCCGATTATATATTCTGATTAATAATGGAACCGTACGTGGTTAGTTTACTTGTATGACTAATTTTGCAGTTGAATAATTAAGCTAGAATATTGAGATTAATTTATCAATTGAGTGTGCAGAAAACTACTGAAACGGAGGAAGCTTGCAAAAATACTCCTACAACGAATGTACCCCCAAATTGTGGTTGAATACGACCCACTGATCAGAATCATTTCCTAACTCCTCATTAATATAACCCTGAGATTGCTAATTGGAAGATTCTCAATTATTTAATTAGTGATGTCAAGGGCTTTTAGCTTTGTGATTCGATTCTTTCAATTGGCATAATCCCCCTAGCTATATTTGACCAATTTACTCTTAAATTTATTTGTACACATGTCATATTTGAAACTTTATAAGAGTTTTTTTTTAATAAATACAAGTGATATTTAGGGAGGAGAATTCAAAGACAGAACATTGGATACACGGATCACTACACTGAATCAGCTTAATAATAATTTTTTTTTAATATATAAAAAATCTAACTAGTCAGAAGTTCTTTGTCAAACTATTTGATCACTAAGTGATTTATTTCCAAGTCCCTAAGATCTCCAAATCGTGGTTAGGGAAATAAATAATCATAATAATCTCCAAATCAAGAACAACAAGAAGTAATTAGATGCAGATCTGTAGTCCAAACAATTCAACTTGAGGGTTAATCTTCTAACCAGAAGGGAACAAATAGGATGACAAGAAGACAATGATCGGTTGATGTCCAAGTTTGCACTAAATCTCTCCAAAAGAATTTCCCATGTCGGCAATTCTGGCGTATTAGGTCCAAATCCAGGGGCTATAATCCAAACACAAATTGTTAAAGTAAAGATTAACCAAATAATTGCCTTGCCACAAGTAAACCAAAGATTCTGCTAGTTACTTAATTAAAGATATTTAATTAATTAAACATTGCATCCCAACATAAATAATCTCAATTGGACAATTCTTAGCCAATTTCTTTTGTCAATGCCAAATGCAAAAGACATGAGCACCAATTCACTTTTTTTCTGGATTTGGAGGTGAACCAAAACTTGGCCCAACCAAATTAACCCTCTCCACACAATTTTGCATGGAAAAAGAGATACATGCTTTCCATTCTAGTCCTTGTGTGCTTCCATGAAAATCGATCCTACTTTTTTTTTTGGTCATCCTACATTAGAAGTTATTTTTGTACAAGTTGTTTACGATATAGTACACGAGGAGAAAAAAATTTCCTGTTACGTCACTTGTGGAGAAAGAAAGGGAGGGCGTACTAAATCCTGATACGTACGCTATTGGCCTACATTTATGCACTAATACACAATCTTGTGGAATCCATCCACACATAATGGACCCTAAATCGTATGAATATCAAATGCATCACGACCGCGTATCTAATAACATATTTCTTAAACTAGCATGGACACAATAATAGAATCTTGTGTATTTCGATCCTCAAACATGATTAACGATCAAGATTATATAATTGACCCTCTCAAATTACGTCGAGAATATCTCCATTCTTGAAGTTGAAGTAGCAACCGATGTTAACATGAGAAAAAGATTAGTTTAAATCTAATCTGTTCATATTATGTCATAATCAGGATGCAAATATTGATTTAATCAGCCAAAAGCAGCACCAGAATACTGCAAGTTTGCAAGAACCCACTAAAACGCTAACTTGGTTTTTCTGTTTCCATGAAACGTTCATGTTTGATCACCAAACATGTATTAGTAAGTACAAAAAGCACACCTAACTGTTCAAAATTGTACAATCATTTGAAAAAGCTTGTTTCCCAAGAACTCTAAAGGCTCCTTGAGTGTCTAGGATTAGATTGGAAGTCACGTTGAAGGAAGAAATTAAATTTGTTTGCCAAATTTGAAAGTAGAGGACGAATTAAAGAACCACAAAACGGTGAATATTTTTAATACCTAATGTCAATCTATAGTATCTAATACATAAAGGTCGTACCCAGTGCACAAGGCTCCCGCTTTACGCAGGGTCTGGGAGAGGTGAATGTCGGCTAGCCTTACCCCCATTTATGGAGAGGCTACTCCCAAGTCTCGAACCCGAAACCTACCGCTCATGGGCGAAGGCACTTGCCATCGCACCAAGTGCGACCTCTAATAGTATCTAATACATATTGTCGGTTTTTTTATTGGTCCTACAGCTAATATTAGTCTTTCTCCATTTGTTGTGATTCACATCGAATTGGATAAAGAAGTGACAAATGAGATTCTTGGGAAAAAGCCCAGATTTCAATTACACAAAAGCAGGATATGGAAGGTTATCAGCTCACCTGCCCCAGCCTGCTAAGTCTAGCATGTTAAACTACTTGAAATATTAAAACGATGGAGTATGTCGCCAACTGTTGTATCTCGAAGTCGGACCAGGTGCTTTCAGATCATCTGCGACAGCTCCGCTGCCTCGACATCCGACATACTCCGAAGAAAGATGAGGTTTTGGTGAAAACTGAATAGCAGCATGTTGAGATTCAGAGAGGCATGGCGCGGCCTTTTCTTCCTGAACAAATTGACTTACACACCTGGTAGTTCTATTTGGCATCAAGCCTCACCAGAGATATGCAAGGGTTGGGATGGTGGTGGCATTGCAGTGGTTGGTTTATGGTGGAATTCCATGGAGAATGTGATGCCAATGTTCGACTGAGGTCTGTTGAAAATATAGCCATCCGGAGCTTTAAATAATAGAACTACTGGGATAAAGCATCGTAGGTAGTAGTTCGGTAATAGCAGCGAGATGTGTAACAAACGGAGCTCCTGGTGTATTCTACTGTATTGCAGTAACCTACTGTGCTTTCAAGTACGACGTATTACAGAATATCGATAATCATATCAGAGGAAATGAATTAAGCATGAATTCACATGGATGCTGTAGACTGAGGAAATAACAGATTAAAAGGAATAAGCAAGACCTAGCAGATCTTCTATCCTTTATGCTTAGGCTTTTGGGTTGGGTCGGTTCGCTGATACGATGTCTTTGTTCATCCACATCGGACGACCTGCAAAAATTTTGGTCATGTAACTAGTAGACCATATGTTCAGCGCTGTAAGGCAATCACTTCAAAGCCTGCATCACTGTACCTATAATAACATAGACAGCCACGAGAAGCACAACAATCTTATTAATCAACGGGGCTGCTCCTACTATTCCTTTTTCTTCAATCTTTTGAGACTCGAACAACTAAGCCTGTCGGTGTCTTGGAAGTTTTGAGATGGCCTGAGCCTATCAGATCACGGAGGTGAAATCTCATATCAAGCGGAGAAAATCGAAGAGCCTTCTTCTCTAAAGGGGCCATCATCATTTCTTTGTATCTCCTCCGGTTTAGAAGAGAGAGAACTTCCTTTCTTCCCTGAACAAAGAGAACACGTGATTCAAAATTTGGACAATTTTCCTGTTCAAACTTAAAAATTTGCAGGAAAATGCCAGATAAAACTCAATCTCCCTAAGTGTTGAATGGCCATGGTATTTCAAAATCTCAAAGCTAACATCCAATACTCAGGTGCCAATTGCTATGTCTCTAATCTAGCAGCCTAAGAGTTTACAAAGTTAACCTTATATCAAGGGTGAAAACTTCCAGTCGGATAAAAACCTAAACTTTTACATGAGCTATAAATTGCAAAAGATGCATATATGTCTTCAGTGAATTTAATATACAAATATACAAAGTTAACCTTATATCAAGGGTGAAAACTTCCAGTCGGATAAATACCTTAACTTTTACATGAGGTACAAATTGCAAAAGATCAGTGAATTTAATCTACAAATATACAGTGAGAAATTGATTATATACCTGAGAGAGGCCTTTTAGTACTGAACCAATATTTGGAATTGCGAACCAGTAAACGTTTGGATCAATAAGTTGACGAGTCTAGAAGTAGATTCCATAGTTAGAAAGCTGGACATCATAAAAGATATTCAAAAGGAACCCAATAAAAAGAACTAAGGGGAAGCATTCCCTGTAAAAGGAGCTGCATAATAAACTTTAAGAGGAAAGATGTAATCAAATCATGTTTAGTGTAAACTATTTCACTAGTTTCCGACTAAGCAGACAACATTACCACAGAACATACCATAATCAATGAGGGAATTAAAACAGCTGCAACATAATATACTAATGAATAAGTAAAAGTTCACTTACAAGAAGGCCAGAATTGATCAAAAGGGAGATGTGTTCATCCTCCACCTTTCCTCCACGAGATAATAATGTACACTGTGGCAAACAATTTTTCAGTTGGATTGTAATTTATTGTATTGTATCTAAAGAGTGACTTGTTCAATCATTATTTTGTTTTAGCACATTATAGTGCTTTAAAAGAACCCTTCAACTCCGAGAAGTACATAGATACAGCACTATTTTAAGGGTAAAAAAAATCAATAAACAGAGATGAAAACAAATACAAGTTCCAGGTGGTTTGATATTCCAATCACTCACAAGATCTTGATGTCCAATACTGGGTTCAAGCTTGCAATCAATAACGTGTGATTTAAACCACTTAAAAACTTCAACAATATCTTCGTCCTTTTCTTCGAATCTTTTCACAACTTTTTCCATCTACATATATATACAGACAGAAGAAGTTCATCAACTTTTTCCATCTCACTAAGAAAATATAAGATAAAATGCAATCATGCTACTGAATAATCATCTAAAAACTCATGTAAACAAACCTGGCGAAAATAGTCATCCAAAAACATTATTGCATGATCGTCTTGTCCAGTATTTAATTTAAAAACCCGTAGCACTTTCTCTCTTTTTAGAGTCTGCACAAGAAAATAAAAGTAACCAAGATTAGTCATAAGAAACTCCTGAACGCCGGAGGTGCCAACTATCTTAAAGCGACATTGTTCCAAGCACCTAGAATCAAATTCTACCATCGCTGAAGATAAAAAAAAAGGTGTCCACTTTAAACTTGGGAATCACATGTTCTCCATAAAAAATACAAATATATGACAAATTTTAGAATAACTTCCATATGTCCCGATCAATAACTAAGACCACTGATTCAATTCATGAGCAAAAGGGGTTCACAGCAACATAATTAACTCTTGTCAGAAAAAACAGATTAAATATGTATTCAAACACATTTCCAGTTATCTTCTTTCAAGTTCTCACAGACCTCTAGATCCCGGTCCACTTGTGTTCGATCCTCCACACTGCTATACAGCTGTGACCGCAAAATGAAAGGCTGAACCGTTACCTGAACAAAAGGCATGAATCAAACTAACCGTATTCAGAAAACAAAAATTAAATTACCCCCAACGAATATAACTGACTAACCACTACTGTGAACAGTATCAAACACTAGGGGAACAAGAAGAACAACAACAAATTCACAACTATTCAATCAACTCAGCAGCTTGTGAAATCTGAAACTTGAAAAAATAATCATATCAAAATCGAAAATTTACAATCCTAACCTTTTCGTTGTTCGGAAACTGAGCTCGCATTATCCGAAGCGCCACCAACGTGTCGCTGAATGTAAGATTTTCCTCTGCATTTCCCCAAAAATTAAAATTTCTGATTAATATTAACTACCCATATGCAAGAGAACATTTCCCAGATATTCAAATACCGGAAAATCATCAATTAAAAGTGTAAATTATATAAATTTTCATTCCTTTTAGTGAAATCAGTGAGAATATACCTAGTGATAGAATTTGATCGAAGTCGCCGGTTGCGGCTTCAGCGTCTGTCTCTCGCGGGCGTTTTTTACCTTTCAAAGAATCTGAAATAGTCGCCATCTTTTTGCTTATGGGTAGGATTTGAGATTCGATTTGGGGACTTAGGGGAAAATTAGAAAAAAACCCTAAATCGAATTTGTCTAATTTTGGGGGTTTGCGTAAAGTCTGAAGCTTTTTGGCGTGCTTGCTTATGTTATGTCCGTTGGAAGAAGGTTCGTAAGGTTTGGTTTTTTCTTGTTTTTTTGACCGTTTTAACCGCGCGCCATATGACTAACCGTTTTTTTTTCTTTTTCAAGTCTTAAGATATTTATTGAATAGGGAAGAAAACTAACAAAGAGGGGCGGGGCCTCGATAAAAATTTTACCAGAGATTTTAACCCGGTTGAACGAAAAAAAAGTATCATGTACCTAATAACTTAACGGTTAATATTATCCTTTAATAAAAAATATAAAATTACATCAGGAAGGTCTTCGAACTAAGATACGGTGAGCTAAAGTTAGGCCTAACCTAGATAGGCGATGAGCCACTTTATTGGCATCCCTTGGGACGAAAGTAGTCCAACATTTTGTAGAATCCTCCGTGTAGGTGTCCAAAAGGACCATTATTGGGCGTGACCTTGAGTAGGATTGCCGAAACAACCATAAGGGCATCCCCCTCCATCTCCACATCTGCAGCGGGCCATTGTTGCGGAAACAAAGCTGCTTCACGAGCAGCAGTCACCTCGGCCAGTAACGGCGTAGTGATGCCATCGAACTTAAATGCAGAAGCTGCCAAGAATTCCCTTCCGCATTCCTAACCACCATCCCAACGCCTCCCACAGCCCCCATTTCATCCCAAGCACCACCAAAATTACATTTAATCCAACCTTCCTCAGGCCACTTCCATCTCTGAACTTCGGCTGGGATAGACATAGACTTAGGCTTTACCTCATTCCATTTCTTATATTCAAGCAGCCATGCTTGAGCTTGAAGTTGAATTTCCGCCGGTGGTAAGGCCGCTCCCTTCCATAAAAATTCATTCCGATCGAGCCTTCCAAATATGCCGCATCAGAACTAAAACCAAATCAAAGCTCTCCCTTGATACCGACTTCACCAAATGTGACAACCACCAGATGAATACCCAAGGGACTCGAAAACCAGATGCCTGCTGATCGAGTACACAACACCAGAGCATGCCCCTTGCCTTCTGGTATGTGATTTTTTGTCTCTCTGTCTTGCATGTGGGTTTCTTGTTTTAGATGTGGATTTCCCATCCCTTTTCAACAATTTTCTCACCTCTTTTTCCCGAGAAACAAACACCAAGTTAGTGATCAATAAAACAAAACTACTGGGACATCTTGCTTTTCGCAGTAAGCAACTTTCTTTGTTATCTCTTTTTTTTTTCTTCATGCAAGTAAAGTTTTCTTCTTCTGTTTTTGTTTTCATGATTAGAAAGAAAGAAATTGCAATTGTTCAGATTGGGAAATTTATCAAATTAATTTGGTGCATTAACAGTTAATTAATTTGTGAAATTGGAAAGATGTTGGTTGTTGCATGTCAAATTTTAGATTATGCAGAATTACAAAGTGGAAAAGTAAGTGAATTTTCTTTTGCTTATGATCTATATGCGCAGGTCTCCAGGATGAAGCCTTTCTTTGGTTTCCGAGAACAGCATAACAGACTTCACTACAAGAACGAGCAACGAAGTAAGCACTTTTAGTTATGACTAACCGTTAAATTGACCATAATCGAAATGTCGTTTTTTATTTTATTTTTATAAACGATAGCGTAACTAGGTTAAATAATTAACTATTAAGAGGAGGAGGATCGGAGAAGATTGAACCCAACTATGATGAATAGACCTAATTTATCATAGCATTTATGTTAAGCACATCGATTTAGAGAGAGAAAGTCGAAACATTGAATTTTTTATGAAAGATAACTTTCCACTTCATTCCGTCCTGTTTACGTACCAAACGCTGCCTAATAGTTAAGGGTATTAAGGTAAAGTTGCGATGAATTCTAATTTCATAATCATGTCATACATGAAAATGTCAATTGATAATCCTACCACTTAAGCTTGATGGTAAATTACCTACCAACTTTAGTTTCTTGGTAAATTACCAAACCCACTTCATTTTAATGAAATCTATACACGATACGAGAAAAGTTTTCATGATAAATGATATATTGTTCGATTAGGAATTTGAGTGGGGTGCTTATAGTATATTAATTTTTTAAGTCGAATGATAAAATTTATGAATTAGATAGTTAGTTGTTTAGATAAAAAGAATCGGTGGCCATGGAATATGCACAAGATTACATGTGCATAATTGTTTTTCGTCGTTGTGATAAAACGTCATTAATAATTTCAATACAAATTATTAAAGAGACTCTTTTTATAAACTATATTTATAATACATAATTGTAATATCACGTAATTTACAAAATATAATCTAAAAAAATAATGTCGGTGACATTTTCTGATAAATAAACATGAAATGGATGAAAGTCTCGATTTACGCCATCAATCAACTTCTCAATTAAGAGTATTGCCACTTGAGTCTTGACACACCGTTTTCCAATCCCTCTTGCCAACCAGCAATGATTTGTCAAAGAGAAAGCAAAAAAGCAAGGGCTTTCACTTTCATGCGCCAAACCATTCCATGTGAAGTGTTTTATTTTTTTCAAACGAACTACATTATCTATACAAATGAAAGAGGGTGGACTTAGCCTCATAATGAGCTAATAATAATGAGTTGAATATCAGAGTGCGTTACGAACAAAACTTTAAAATAGAATATTATTAAATAAACGAGAATGCCAAAACGGCTACAAAACTCTAAGATGCTACATTTTGAACGACTTAATATCTCTAAATAACAAAGTTCTCTATTTATAATAAACTAACATTAGTCCCTAATAAGCAAAGAAACGAAAACCTAATTCTAATGGGCTAAACCCAAATCCAAACACTAAATAAATAAATATTTTCCAACACCTCCCGTCAAACTCATGGCGGTACACGTCATGAGTTTGCCAACAAGTAGATGCGGATGCAAGCTTCGTTAGGCGAACACAACAAGTCAAGCTGGCAAGTTCCATTAGGCGGACACAACAAAGTAAGTTTCGTTAGACAGACACGACAAGACAAGTTTCATTAGACGGATAGGCAAGCAGGCAATCAAGCGAGCAAACAAACAATCCAAGCAAACAAGCAAGCAAGTAGATTCCGGTTGAAGATCCAATTAAAAACCAAGTACACAACGCCACTTGAATGGTCATCAGTCCAAGTGATCGTCGTGGTGGTGGGCAACCAGGAGATTTCCAAGCTCAACAATAACCATTCTTACATCAACCGTGTGGGCCAAAACAAACAGCCAACTTTTCCTTTTTTTTTTGTTTTTTTTTTTCCTTCTCTTCTTTAGCTCTTTTATTTATTTATTTTAACTTTTCCCGTGTGTGGGCCAAAATCTCAACCAATTTCCAATTTTTTCTTTTGGCGATGACATTCTGCGGTAGAGTACAAGGCAAGGACGAACTCAATCCGAGTTTGGTGTTCTCGGGTCGAGCAACAACGACGGTGTGGGGCAGATACGGTGCAGGGGCGGACGCTGATGCATAGGTTCAAGGCAGCAGCAGTTCGAAACCATGGGATCACACAGCAGTAAACAACGGATTAAGGCTCCGATGGCTTGGTGCAATAATGAGTTCAATTTTTGTGTTTTTTTTTCAACGACAAAACCCTAATCTAGGTACAAAGATAAAACAAATTACAACTGAACTGATATCCGGCGACTGAAAAATAAATTGATACCACCAAGAACAGATCAATCCCGACGGATCGAATATGCTCTGATACCAAGTTGATTATTAGAGTGCACTACGAACAAAACTACAAAATATAATATTATTAAATAAACGAGAATGCCGAAACGGCTATTAAACTCCAAGAGGCTACATTGTGAATGATTTAAAATTTCTGAATAACAAAGTTCTCTATTTATAATAAACTAACCTTAGTTCTTAATAAGCAAGGAAACGAAAACCTAATTCTAATGGGCTAAACCCATATCTAAACACTAAATAAATAACTATTTTCCAACATAATGTGGTTTAAATTGGAAAGAGATCCAAAGTCTCGGGATCCGAGTAATTAAAATTTAATCAAACGGTTACAAACATGGGTTCACTTTAAAAATTATAATAATTTTAGCCGTTAGATCAAATTTCAATTGTTCGGATCTTCGAACTTGGTGAATTAGGAAGAAATGATCTAAAGATGACAATTTTTGTTTAAATTCGCCTTTTGATGAGAATCAAACTTAAAAGGAAGAGGATCCTCTCCTGAGTTCAGGATGGGGATCCTCCTGATCACAAAATTTGGATCGTTCAAATTTAATCCAACAGTTGTAATTATTATAACGTTTAGAGGACCCTATTATTTAGAGTCATTTGATTAAATTTGAACGGTCTGGATTTCGTAGTCAAGAGGATCCCCATCCTGAGTTTACGAGATGATCCTCTTCCAACTTAAAATTGTAATAAGTGAAGTACAGACTGTACAGTACCACACGGACTATATCGTAATGTGACGTGTTGATGCCGCGTATTCAGGCGGTCCCGTCCATACAAACGACAACGTCGTTCTGTCGTGTGTGTTCACCCTCACCCCACCGTCTCTCTTCTCTCACTCTCTCTCCCATTTCTGTAGTCTGTGGATCTCCCTCTTTGTTTATTATTCGAATAGATCTCTCTCTCTCTCTCTCTCTCTCTTACACAGAGTCAAATTCTCAAATCCCATATCGTTGTTCAATATTCTTTTGTTTCCCCATTTATGCTTCCCACTCATCGTTTATAAGAAGGACCACATCTCTTTCCCTCTCTCTCTCTCAAACTCTCTCCTGCTCCTTTGGGAAAAATCCATTGCAACCAGGTACGTCCTCTGCTCAATCCTCATCGAAAAACGAGCCCACATCTATCGGTTCCGATCCGTCCCCACTCTCCAATCGCACTCACTCTCTCTGTTCCTCACTGCCCATATGCAATTTTTGAGTCTTCATCCAAAAAGATCTGATTTTTTTGCTGTTTTTCTATGAATTTTCATCTGGGCAATTTCAAATCGGCACTTTCCAGCTCTGGGAATTAACACTGCCGACGATTTTTTAGATTTCACGAGCTGGGTCGTATCAATCTCTGTCAATTCTTGTTGTTGAAGTTGAAGGTCTCTCATTTATTATATATACATGTCAACTGTCGACTGTCGGTGCTTTTGCGTCTGTTAATCTTGCATCTTTTTTGTGTGTTTCTCGCTGCCGATTTTACCCTCCTTCCTCTTCACTCTCACGCTTTTTATTGGTGCTATTCGATTTTATATGCCATTTATTTCAGACATTTAATCCGTATAGAGAAATCAGATAGTGGTACTTTTTTTCCAGATTTGTTCCTCTTTGAAGGAACTGGGTCAGATTTGAATTCGTTTTTTATTGCTGGGATTGAATTTTTGTTGTTTTTGTACTTGTTTCACTTGCTTTGGTTTGGTTTATGAGTTTCTTACACTAGCTTTTAGCTGTTAGTTTCTGGTTTTCCTTTTCTATTTTAATTAATGGCATTAAAGTATATATCTTAAATCCCCAGTTAATAACTTTTCCTTTTTCGTATAATATTGACTGGATTAGGATTTCTTTGTTGTGAATCTTGCGATTATACTAAATCGAGTTATAAGGTTGCTTCCTTCTTAGAAGGGAAATAAAGTAGAGCCGAATAGATATTTCATTTGGTTTACTTGAAGTGATGAGTTGAATGGTCTTAATTTTATATGTTAATTTTCGATGTTTGAATTCGTAGTATCGCGGATCATTTTCTTTACTTACTGCCATTGTATCTGTATTCTATGGAACTAACTAGTTTAATCGTGTTTTGGTGATTGAAGCTGTTTCTGAAGTGGGACATCCGCCGATCGTCCTTCTGGAGTGAAACTGGAGCTTTATTTTGAACTCTGCATGTTGAAGTCGAAGTAGAAGGGTAATTGCTGTGTTGGTTTGTGAAAAATGTCACGGGGAAGGGCTGATGGGATCCCAAAGAAACGTTTGGTCACCTCAGTTCTTGTTTTGGTGATCATTTGTGGTCTCCTATACTTGTATTCTAAGAAAAATGGTTCCTCTGGTCTCGAGTATGGCAGTAAGATAAGAAAATTCGGTTCTACTTACTTGGGTGCGGATGAAGATGTTGACGAGTCACCTCCCAAACTTGGTGAAGATGAAGAGGATGGTGTTATATTGAAGAGCATACCGGTGAGTTGCCTTGGCTAACATTTACTATGTCGTTTCACTTCATAGTATACTTATGAGTAATTCATATGGGTTATATTTTTAAGGCTAATATAAGTATTTTTCAATGATGAAGGTTTGTGATGATAGACATTCAGAACTGATTCCTTGCTTAGACAGAAACCTTATTTATGAAACAAGGTTGAAGTTGGATCTGTCTGTGATGGAGCATTACGAGAGACACTGCCCAGTGCCTGAAAGGCGATATAACTGTTTGATTCCACCCCCTCCTGGATATAAGGTGAGATCCTGCTTAAGTCTTTACATCAAATGGAATTGAGCGAGCAAGCTTTGTACTAGAACTTTCTCTTGAATTATAGTATGAAGTTTTCTGCTGTTTTTATGCAATAGATCCCAATCAAGTGGCCTAAAAGCCGAGACGAGGTATGGAAAGCAAATATACCTCATACGCACCTTGCAACTGAGAAGTCTGACCAAAAGTGGATGGTTGTCAAAGGTGAAAAGATTGGATTTCCTGGAGGAGGTACTCACTTCCATTATGGAGCTGACAAGTACATCGCATCAATGGCTAATGTAAGTCAGTGGCCCTTCACAGTGGAGGCAAAAATAATTAGTTGGTAGAAAGCTAGTAAATATGGTGTTTTTTTTTCTTTTCTTTTTTTTT